AAATAGTGTTGAACTGGCTTAAAAGGCCTCCCCCTATCCTCCCTAGGTATACGCATGGTGGTCCACGAACATAATAGGAATTTCCTTTCGTGTGCTCCAAGATATAAAACAAAGTTATTGTCGAACATTCAGCAATTAATGATTTCGTGGATGTTTGTTCGATTGAGGATCATAAAGTTGAAATATGAATATCTTATATATTTTACATACCTACTTCCTGATTTATTTTAAAGTAGGGGGTAAACTGAATCAGATTCGACAAAAAAAATTAAGGCATTTCGATTAATTTTTACAAATTATTTTCGACTTTGGCCTTTCGAAGAGGGTGCCAGGACCTATATTATTTTTTGCATATTTCCGTTCCCAATACTTCTCGAAAAAACGAAAAAAAACGCATATTTTTTATTCACCTAACCCCGTTAGATGGTACATACTTAGGTTTTCAAATGACAGAAAAGTGTAGGTTTTGCTGTTCATGAATAACGTATCAACCATGTATCAACAAGACGTCCTGTTAATGGGCTTTTTGTTATTGTTCCTCCGTCGAGGAGGTATTGAGATTGAGTTACCAAAGTGCCAACAAGCATAACAAGCAAATGATGATGCTTCTTGATGATGTAATCCAAAATTTATTTATGAACATTGAATAACTTGCACTGCATATTTTCCTATGCATCAATCATAAATACAGGGTGATCCACGGTGGATGGCCTATTAGAAGTATCTGGAGAACGAAAATACAGACATTCTGAAAATTGGGATGCTTTGATAATTGAACATTCTCTATCCGTCTAAAATATTTTCATCGATGCTGCCACTTCTAGCAACTTCGCTATTTTGAATAGAGCACACTGTGTTTAGTGTATTTTTAGAACCTTTCTGAAGAGCTGATTCCATCAATGTATCACACTTGGGGTCTAGCAGGAATGATAACAGAGATATAGGGTGTTCAAGATCGAGATTTTTCAATTTTAGGATTTTTTTGTGTCGAAACTATTTATTATCGATCAAAACGGCTTACATGTCACTATCCTAACTTTTGATTCACTATCTACTGACATTTAATTGGAACAGATAAAGGGTGATCAGAATTCTGAATCTTGAAGCAACCTGTATTTTTTACAATTAAATTTTTATTTTTGAAAGTTTGAAGGCAATCATCGCAATAAACTATCGAAAGCAGCTGCGATAGTCAGTTTGAAAATGTCCATACGAAATTCCCAATGTAACAGTTAGTAGGTATAAGTATTCTGTTCAAATTTCAGTGAATTAATAAAGAAGAAATTGTATTTATTCTGTTGCCGAAAAAATAGTGTACGCAACATGACCAGAAACAGGTTTTTTTGACTCGCAGACTTCTAGGGCTCCGCCTAGAATTTTGTCTACTCGTCCAAAAAAAGAAAATAGTATTCTCCGGACTTGTTACGTAAATTACTATTATTATTTAACTATCTTTTTATTTCCTGAATTTTTGACTGTTGATATTAAATCTCGAATTTTGGAATATTTCTGCTTTGCATTTCAGATTAACAACTCTCATTCATCTAAAATTTTCTTGAAATATATCCCATCCTTGGTAATATTTTTTGTTTTCATTCTCATTCTCAATCATTGATTTTTTCCCATATTCTTCCTGTTCATATACATGTTGTTGGTTCGGACAAAATATAGATACTTACCTTGCAAATGTTGCTACCTACTGTCATATTGATCGTCGATCCATTTACTGTTCCGCTTTTTCCATTTATTTTTTGTGGTTATATCCCAGGTTATATCTAACTATCCGTTTTTCCCTTAGCACAGTATATTATCCTTTACTGTGCCCTTAGCCTGCATAATCAGGGTGCCCCGAAGTTACAGAGGAGCCCGATATAATTTGGAAATGTAAAAACTGACGCCACGATTTTGTAAGTAGAGGCAGACCATAGCACAGATGCCATGAGTTGAAATACGATTGGGAACTTTGGAAATATTAGTTATTCGATAATTCTTAAATTATCAATTGAGTATCGGTAATATTCCTAATTAGCAATCAAAATGCAATTGTCTCGAAATTTTCCCTTATGATTTGTGGCTTTTTGCTTATAATAAATTAGTCCATATAATAATTATATTAATTCACACTGGAGGACATTTAAATCGGTGAACGTGACAACCACGGCGGACAACTTGTGTGCGTGGTCTTGTCAGTTCTCAGCATTCAGCACAATGTTGCCAAGTCTCTAACATTCATATGATAATGTGTTATGGAGAATAAGAAAAATTTGGACATGCTGGTTGCTCGAAAAAGGGTTCCTCCTATTATGTTTTATTCAACGACAGGACTAACGTCTTTTTGCTAACTTGATTATAATTGGTGACTTGACAACCTTACTTCATGAGTAGAAATAAGATTATCTGACCAATAACGACTCATTATTTACACAAAAAAAATGTGAGAAATGTTGCAAAAAATAAATTTAGGTTAATCTTTGGAAGAAGTCCATAAATCAAAGTGGAGTGGTGTAGTTCATAGATGAAAACCCATCAAAGTCATCTCCACAACATTCATTAGAATGATCAAAGATCACTCGTAAAGGAACATGTTTCGGGCTCATATAAGCCCATCATCAGCCAATAGAAAGTATCATAGTTGTTATGGACATGAGAAAAGTAGACATAAAAATAGTATAGTTAATAACAGTGCAATCAGGGAAATATGCTGCATGATTGTCACTCTAAAATGATATAAATTTATAACATAATTTTTATTATGACCTTCAGCCTATTAATTGAATTTCAAGTTTTACTACATTCAATATGATATAATGTACATTTTTTCTTCTCCATCATTTTTAACGTTTGCTGATGATGAACCTATACAGAGTGACATTGAATTAAATACAAATATTTCAGATCCTGAGAAACCTCGACGTATACTATTGAATGACACCAATAATGAATTTTCTTATCAAGATAAAATTCGGGTGAGACCCCCTTTTCCACCTAAAGTTCTAAACTGTGGTAATTTTGACGTCACCACTATACAAATTTCCGTGCGGAAGGCAAATTCAAGCGGAGTTCAATCATTTAAATGGCCTTAAAGTGGTATCCTTGATTTTTTACGTTTTTAATTCAATTTTTGCGATGAAATTTCTTGTTGATTAGTATAATTAGAAAAAAATTTATATCCTGGGACAATTCGTTAGACTGTGCTATATTGATGTGCTGAATATATTATGTACTTATTTCGAAAACAACTTGTATAGATTCGAAACATGTCCTGCTGAACGGGCGAGTGGACTTATAATGAATTATTGGCATTCAATTACTACACTGTGTCGTTAGGGACCTAATTTAATTTTTGCAACACTTCTCACACTTTTTTTATGTAAATCATGAGTGTTTGCGTTGTTCGAAATTGTTGAATTTCGGAGCTCATTTCAAACTTACCATCATGGCCACTTTTTGGCGATACGTCGAATAAATGGTGACGTCAGCTTTTATGCTGTTTCGCCGTTATTGGTCAGATAATCTTCCATTCCCACTCACGAAGCAACGTTGTCAAGTCACCAATTATAATAAAGTTATCGAAAAGATGTAAGAGTCCTGTCGTTGAATAAAACATATTAAAAGGAACCCATGATATTACAGTTCATTCTTGACTCTTTCGAGAAACCAGCATGTCCAAATATTTCTAATATTGCATAAACAAATTTCATGTTAATGTTGGAGACTTGGCAACATTGTGCCGTGTTGTTGTCACGTTCACCGCTTCAAATGTTCTCTATTGTGAATCAATATAATCACTATTTTCACAAATAATGTATTATGAGCAATGAGCCACACATCACACATTTTGAGACAATTGATTTTGTATTGCTCAATAGGAATATTACCGATACATGATTTAAGGGGCAAGTGGAAGAAGGGGTCAAATAACATTTTCTAAAAATATACGGCTATATCATGGAAGAAGGTGTTACGTGCATATTTAACTTGTCCCGCCGGGATTTGTTTCTATTCTTCACACCTGAGAAGATACACAGTGGTAGAAGGGACTATGTTACATTGAACATCAAGAACGCAATGGAAGAAGGAATTTTGTGCCCATTGCCTACATGTCAGGAAATGAAAGAAGGGGCTATGTACGAGTAAATCCAGATGTCTGTAATAAATCAACCTAAAAGTATTCCTCACAATTGCGAAAATCCAATTATTAAAGTAGCTTCCATTAGCTTCCAGCTTCCTTTACTATAACCTATTTTTCTCACAAACTCATATTTGTAACATAACTACTTCTTCCACTTGCCCCTTCAATTGAGAATTAATTAATGTTAGTATAACTAATATTTCTGAAGTTCCCTATCATATTTCAACACCATGATGAAAATAGACTGGTGTAACCACTTGTCAATTGTTTCTTTCCAAAACGTGTAGACCGCGAAACACCGTAGCAAGGCCGCACCGGATTGACTGTAGATGGCGTAGGGAACATCGTGCCACATATACTTCACAGATATAATGAAAATTTCACGTCTTTTTCATTAAATCAATCACTTTTTCTAAATGTTTTTAAATTACGAATTAATATACGTAAATGTAACCAACAAAACAATACAACCATTGTGTAGCAAGATCACTTCGGGAACAGCGCCATCTAGCGTTAGTTTTGCGCGGCCTTACTACGGTGATAGAATTCGACATAATCAAGTAGGCCAGAGGTCTACAAAAATGTCTAGGGTTTCGTAAGAGGGAGCTATTTCACCATACATATATCCACCTTTTTCAACACATACAGTGCTAAGGTCTGCACCGACTTCCGAAATCGTTTGAAAATCACCGTGGCATAATTGATGATTTTAACACCTAAAAATCGACCGACAAATTCTAAAAAAATATGAAATCGAAAGATATCTGAGTGATGATTCTATTTGAGCAATAAAAAAAATGAGTCCACTCGTCTATTGTGCAGATGACTGGGAGTTTTTCTACTAACTACTTCATTATTATTTCTTTAGGCATACGAAGCTTCCTGGAACGAAGGACGAAAAGAGCAAACGAATACCCTCGGCGAGCAAATTTCCAACGAGGAGAAGGCCCAATGGAGCATGGAGGGCCAGACCATGCTGGTGCAAGCCAAGCGCGAGAACGTGGCATTGCAGCTGGAGGCCAACTATCGCGAACGCCTCATCACCGCGTACGGGGAAGTGAAGAAGCGCCTCGACTATCAGGTGGAGAAGCAGAACATCGAACGCAGAATCGCCCAGAAGAACCTCGTGGACTGGGTCGTGTCCAGGGTCAGATCGTCTATCACCCCCGATCAGGAGAAACAGAACATCAACAAGTGCATCTCCGATTTGGCTCTATTGGCCAAAGCCTAGTTTAGGGAACGTGTACAGTCTGTAAGTTATATAGCTCAGTGTTGAAGCCTCCTGGTTAATTTCGATGTCCGTATGCCAGCTCATAAGTAAGAGTATAATATTCTGTTATCAGTGGCTATGAAATAAAATTTACAAGTATCATTTATTATTTTTGTATTTCTTTTCTAGAAGATTAGGTGAAGCTGAAAGATCAGATAGATATGGTCTATCTAGAATTTGCACCAAATTCTTGATCAGTGACAATTTAATTGATGTATAAAAAAACCATACGCCACTGTGATTTTGTCATTATGACAACAAGAAAAGTTTGACCAAACTTTTCCAGCGACAAAACGGAACCTAACGTTTGAAAGCATGACAACCAAAATTGTCAACACAAATTTTTGATGGCGTTTGTCAATTTTCCTCAAAGTTCCATTGTCAAAAAAGTGTGTAATCTGGTCCATAATCCTTATTGATGAGACTATTTCAATATTTTTGAATATATATTGTTTATATTTAAAAATAGTAATAGTTATAAATAAGGATAACGTACCTATTCCATATAGCTTGTACCGTTTAGTGATTTGAGATTGGGATAAACATTTGAATCATGACAGACATTGCTTGCGCAAGTGCCTTTTGAGGTTAGGTGAACATACCTAGTATCACACCTAGTATATCTGAGATGCTAACATGTACAGCACAACACGTGTCGTGGCGTTAAAAAAACGGTTTGGTTAGTGGTAAAAAATTGTAGTGTGATGAAGATAACTGGCAGAATTTTGGATTTTTGAAATGGAAACAGCGCATTGAAATAAATGTTGAGCAACAATGGTCCTGTTATATGAAGTTTGACAATTTTTCAAAGAAGGTCTTGAATAATTTCGAAACGGAAAAACGCAGACCCATGCAATTCAACATAATTAAACTTATCTTTATTATTTCATATTTTTTGGGATTTTCTCCTCGTTTCTATAAAATAAAAATATGAATAATATTTCAATATACGTGTAGTAATGACAAATCAGATGATTTGCCCCAAAATGTCACTGAGTTCTCAGTGAGAACTGGAAAGTGTCAGGACAAATACGAATTTGCTATATAAAAAAGCCAATTTTTATGTTGAAATAGGGAACTGATTCGTTCCCGAAACGTCCAAAGGTAAGTAAAAATTTGATATTTTCCTCATATACCTTTATTTCTCTTCTCCAAAATTTTTTAAATACAAATTGTCACTGACCAGCGGGTAAATTTTTCTTTTAGGCTTCTCTGATAGGAAAATTCTTTAAACGCAGTGACATTTTGGGGCAAATCATCTGATTTGTCCTCACCACACATATATTGAAATAATATTCATATTTTTATGTACCACCTCCTCAATTAACCGACACACAGTATTGAACTTATTTTGTCGATCTTTATCCAAATTTGAATGAAATGGAGGGTGTTCCTTTCTGAAATTTCGAGAAAATGATCACTCTTCGAAATACAGTATCACTTTTAGCTAGATCTGAATGTTGTTCTACTATGAAGAGAACATACAAAATTTGTTAATTTATAACGAAAACCGCGCACTGAGATCTCAATTCACAGCATTTTCAGAGGGTTTGAAAATTTGACTACTTATTGAAGATCATGGATAAGTCTGAAACGGGTGTTCTCAGATCCATATTTTCATACATCATTGGACTCATATTTCTGAGCTCTATCCAAGGATGAAGTGATATGTAGGGTGTTTCATTAAAATTTCGAGAAAATGATCGGTTTGCAAAATATCATATCACTTTTGGAAAATTGAGAATTTCCAAATATTGTCGAAATATCAAGATAACAATAGGATTTGTTAATTTATGACGAAAACTGCGCATCGAAAACTTGGTTCTAAACGTTTCTATAGGGCTGAAATTTGGCTATTTATTGAAGAAGATCATGGATATGTCCGAAACGGGTGATCTCAGACCCATGTTATGATATGTCATTGAACTTGTCTTTCTGAGCTCTTTGCAAAGACGGAAAGAAATTTACAGTATTCCATTTTAAAAAACGTATGTTTGGTATGTCACAGGCAAATTAAGAAAGTTGATATGAGTATAAACAGCTTCGATTCACAATTTTTGTCGTATCCTCGTTCGACAGATAAGGGAGTGGCCCATGTTGTGTCGGATACCCCGTATGTACATACCTAGGCATGGGCGTGTTTCAATCAATTATTTATCATTATCAAATAGTGAAAAGAATCGATTATATACTCAACATTATTTTTTGTTTATAATTTTGTTTGTTGTTTATTTTTTATCTAGATTGATCTAGAATTTCATAATTTCATCTCATTCCTTCAGATAATATGAAAAACATAAACTGAACGAAAAAGTTGAGAATATTGTCTTTTTGCTATGAATAAATATTCCAAAAATAATGTGGTAATTACATATAGGTATTGTTATCTATGTCGTTTTTTGTAAGATAAGGATATTGTCTTTTTACTATGAAAAATGTAGTATAGCTATTAATATCTATTATGTCATTTGCGTTCAAAAATATCCTTGATTTGTTTCGATCAGTTTATTTGGAGTGTGCATATCAGAATCCAATACAAATTGAAACTAATTAGCATTTTTATCTGGACATGCCTAATGAACTAGGTTGAATATTCAAACAGTCATACTGATATGTGGAAGATTACATAGAGGCATACGTTAGGTGTATTTAATTAGAGAGAATATTTACATTCATTTGTTTTTTGTTTCCAGAGACATCAGTAGGTAAGTATAAAAAATTATGTTGCTCTGAAATGAAAATTGACTAACATTTTCTCTGTTTATCTATTTGCCAACCAGCAAAATGTATCCGTGGAATAACTATAAGTATTTATATTTTGAACATATTGTTATGCTTCCAAAGTTTCGAATTTAAAGCCTTGTCAAACAAACCTAACTACTACATTTGAGCAGAGATTATACACTCCCCATTTGAGTGTTTCCAAGATGAAGAAAACAAATTAAACATACGATAACCATGTATTAGAAAAAAATCATAGTTCAGATGACAGATTCGAAATTTCACATGCAAGGAAAGTAAATAAATTATTTGGAATCATTAGAAATCAACAAACGCAAAAATTCTAACACTTACCTCACCTTACCTTACCTCAAATTCACCACTTCAATTTTTCTTAATGCAGGGTTTATAGATTCAACCAAATTAAGTATCAAACTAACAACTTTGAACTCAAGAAGGAAACATTATGAGGGTTTATACATTTACAACTGTCATTTAAATTAAGAATTATGAATTACAAAGTTGGACAACTTTCACCTTGACATTTAAGAATTAGTAAATTCTGGAGACAGAACAAGGAACAAGAAGATTGGATTTATTATTGTTCAAGTGGAGTTTCGTGATATTAAATTGGAATATTTTTTATGGATTCATGATTTGTATAGACACCAAAATCACTTTTTGACATCATTCTGATCATTAATCAAGACATTTCACTTTCAATTTCTAATTAATATCAGATTTGTATAAGCACTCTCATGATTATTAATTCCTAATTGTTAGTTTGAATGAATCTAGAAACCCAGCATTATAGGTAATATTTGCATCACACTCAATCCATATATGGTTAATCCGGCACTCCAAATTTTAATGTAGATGTTGTGCATACTTTCCGGAATTAAGGATTAACTATCCTGCCCACACGCACGTAATTATAGCAGCATCGAATCAATGTTAGGTTAATTTATTGTACTAGTATTTCATATGAAGGAACTAATGTGTTAACAAATCATTATGTGTTAATAATTTTGTGGAAATCTTTTCATTTTGTGAAATTTCTTGAAGTATATTATTTTTCTTCTTATTTATAGGTTACTTAAGAATTTACTATGTCATACTCTTCAAAAATAGAGGAATTAATTGAATTATTGAGTCAGGAATCTGGTTTAAACACAGAGTCAAATCACAAGTACTTGAAAAACTTACAACACGGTTTCCATAAACTGAATTATGCCCATGAATACCTGAAAGATTCACCGACATTCAACAAGATACTTGAAGAACAAAAAATCAGAAAATCCAACAAGGATTCTGATAAATGGAGGAAAAAAGGAACTGAATATATTCAACTTCAGAAGCACATGGATGCTTTTGAATGTTTGACAAAAAGCATTGCATTTGCTGAAAATGAAAATTCATCAGAGGCATTTGCTGCTAGAGCTAAATTATTATGTGATACTGGGTATTTTTCAGCATGTTTACAGGTAAGAAATTTAGAACTATGTGTATGATGATAACATATTAACTATTGTACCAGGATATAGATAGAGGCAGTAAGAAACAGTGTTCAAAAACTGTACAGGAAAGTCTAGCAAATTTGAAAGAGAAAGCAACTAAATATGAAATTCCAGATCATCTAGTAGATTTCGATCCCCTTCCAGTTATTACAGATAGAAACAGCACACGGAGATCCGCTTCCAGTTATATAGAATTGAGAACAGACGAAACAGTTGGAAGACACATAATTGCAGCAAAAGAAATACCAGCAGGCGAAATCCTGGTGGTGGAAAAATCTTTCGTCCACACGATGTTTCCAGAGAGTAAATATCTTCACTGTCACGAATGTTTAAAGCTTTGCTACAATTTGATACCGTGCCCGCAATGTGCAGATGCATTATATTGTAGTGATAATTGTAAACAGCAAGCAGAATCCTACCACAAGTATGAATGTGATGTAAGTGATTTGTATGGAGAACTTACAATAAATTTCATAAAAATGGTGGTGAAAGCATTGGACGACAACAGTTCTACAGGACCTGAGGAGTATTATTATAAGAGCAGGTTTACAGATATTGCAACTTTGGTGACGAACGAAGAGAAAAGAAATGGAATAAATTTATATTATCCTATAATGATGGCAACCATCGGTTTCCACGATCTGAAAAGAAAGACAACGATCTTATCTGATTTTAATATCAGTGAAAATGATTTGAAAAATCTCATCTACGAATGCATCATGATAGATTCAATAAATTCCTTTAATATAAAGAAATTTTCACCAGTTGATGGAAGTGCGAAGATGATTGCCTTAGGAATATATGCATTTTCCTCCTTATTCAATCATTCTTGTACTCCAAATTGTCAGTATTTCTTTCACGGAAGGAATATTGTCATTAGGACTACGTCAAATATTGAAAAAGGAGATGAATGTAATATCACTTATTGTGGGTGAGTCAATACTAATGAATCATGTATGTAGTTGAGTATAGGATTGATTATAATGCATACACTGTGTTTCGGTTGAAGCTTTTGTCACCCTCTTAAATTCGGAACTATAAGAAACATTAAAAATCCCTCAAATTCGATTTTCATTTTGAGGGAAATTCATCCAGCAAATATATCATTATTGTGTTTGTCCTGTGTACGGGGTGGTCAAATTTTGAAGTGACATATTCGATCTCATTTTGAGACAAATTCACGGATGGTAACAAACATTTATTATCGTCTCTTTGTTTTCAAGTCATGAACTTAGTTTGATTTATTGGCTTTTAGAAACCACTTGTGAATTTACTATCGTCTTTTGTTTTCGAGTTATAAACTAAGTTCGATTTATCGGCTTTTAGAAATTGTTTATATAGTTATAAGAAAAAAATAAATTCTACATTCTTGAGGCACTTTTTTCTGTAGAATCCAGTGGCACTTGGAAAATTTGAAGAAAAGGTGCGATTTCCTGTGAAATAGTTGACCTAACAAGTGAGGAAAGTGATGCTTTTCTCCACGCGATTGCACATGGCCGAACAACGCTAAGCGTCGTTCGGCCAGCAATCGCGTTGCGACAAATCACTTTCCCGACGACCGCATATAAAAGCAGAACTGTGTTGTTGCTCAGAAAGTATCTCATTTTATCATAGAGATGCGAAAGTGAAAAGTCTGGCAGTATTCCCGCACCCTCACGTGATCTTTGCTTGGTCCTTATAATGTATAAATGTTAATAATACTGAATTATCATATTTTAATACTTACCATCATTGTATATGCATCAATTTTCGTTACGAGTTTAATTTTTACCCCATGAGAACTAATGATGGTGTATTTTCGGTATTTGCTATTTAATCATAATCTGCGACACATAACCTCATTGCTGTCTACACCGGTGTGGCTCGGGTCTATACACCGTCGTCACTTTGTGATGTATTTTTGGTTGCGGTTGGTTACGATTAAATGAGTTAATTGTCATTACGATGGAATCAACATCATGAATACTGTCATAGATAATAATCTTCTACTTGGAATAAATAAAAAAAAACGCAAAAAGTAATCAGTTAGGTGTAGTGTAGGTAATTTGAACTACTATGATTATACTGGACAGAAAAGCACAAGATTTGATGTCGCGGCTGGTGAAACATATAATTTTTTATCCAATTTTGTGTAATTTTTTAATTGAAAACTCCACCATTTTGTGTTCACCCAATGTCACAGTGAATTTTCATTACCGATTTGTTTCAAATTATTACTTGGAACATTGCATAGCAACAAACATTTTCTGCCTAGGGAGTGAAGGTGCACCTTTTATTGTTGTTGTTGTTGTTCTTTATTACCCCAAGAAACATATTTGTATATATAAGTGTCATTAAAAAGCCAATATTAATGTCATTTGGAGAAAAATAATATTCGAACTATCAAGGACTTACAAATCAAAAACGATCCGTCATCGATATAATGCACATGGTCATCAATAAATATATCACATGTCCGCTCTACGCTTCCGTAATATTCGTCGAAAAATCGAACTTTGGTCCATGACACGAAAAACATTTTTGAAATAAATATATATAGTTAACTTATAAATGGTTAAATGAGTCGCGATTACTTCTATCCAGAAATATATAAGTATTTTTCGAATCACCTTCGTATTTTTTATTACTGGAGTGGCTGGATGACTAATAACAGCTAGCAGAAAAATATCCGTTTTAACTTTCTTTATAACTTCCACAAAAGTTGAAACATTCTCCATTGCATAACATTATGTATTTGCAATTGAATTTTCTTCAGAGGCAGGTAGAAGTGCCTCGAACATCTGACTTCACGCCCTTAAAAGAGTGTGAAGACGCTTGTCACCACTGACAAGTGCGAATTGTCATCATTCTCAGATTTTAAACGTCACATCAAAATTGAATAGGCGTCCCCGCCTATGATGTATTAATATATTTTGTTCAGGAACTGAGATATTCATAAGTAGGCATCTTCAGCAAAAAGAATCTTATTAGGAACGAATTGCAGAATTTCTAATGATGATAATTTTTAATCAAAAACAAAATGAGTGTTTGTTTCAAAGATTTTGATTTCCTATATTCAAGATTTGAACTAGTCAAATGTATATAGAAATATACAACATCAAAAAATGATCATCTGAACTTAATTCTTGACAAAAAAAATCTCCAATTCGAAACAATTCAATAGTGAAAGAAAATCTGATCAATACTTGTCTGGCTTATAGATAATGAAGTTGAAATATACATCAATGTGTAATTTGAACTACTATGATTTGAACTATTATGATTTGAAATATTCTAGGAACTACTCTCCTCATCCTATGAAGACTGTAGAAGAAAGACGAAACTATCTAGAAGACGTGTTCTTCTTCAAATGCCATTGCAAAGCTTGCGTTGGAGTTGGGAATTGAGGCCATCATGAATAACTGAATAACTATGGGGACTAGCAAAACTCCCAGAAAAACAAAAATTGAAAAAATTATAAAACTATTCTTTCAATTAAACAAACTAAAGATGGATCTTCCATTGTTTTTTTTTTTGTTTGATGGGACCAAATATGTAGGTTAGTATTCATGATTTTGTTGTTTGGAAACAAACTTGCTTGTTCATGGTCAATGATGGGTATATGCAGACCATACCTTTATTATTGTTCAGTTAAATTTTATGAAAATGTTCAATCATTGGGATAAAATTAGATCTCAAAAAATTATGGATCTACATTGTGATTCAGGTTTTGAGGTACAAACTGAAATGAGTGATAGATCTCATCATTTCAATCACTTTTTTTTTATAAATATTAGTCCGATCTCGATCAGTAGGGGATCCACAGGGAGTCAGTTTGATTATTTTTTTCTATTAATTGAAATATCGCGCTCACTTTTCAAGATATCAATTTGTTTTTGGGGGTAGATGCTTCTTTATCCCTCCCAAACTTTTTCTTACTACGCCTATGAAATTTTCTAGTTACCAGATTATAGGCTTTTTTGTTTCTCAATTTACTTCGAGAAACGAACCGTTCTCGAGATATAAATAAGCATATCCGTTCTAAAACATGTTAAATATCTATATTTTTCTCTTAAATTATATTCTTGGACAAAATTAGTTAACAATAATGACATACGCGAAATAAATGATCAGATTCCGCAATAAGATTCTTCCCGACAAATTGAATGCTATATTGTTTCCCAATTTTTTTCAAATGATATTGAAAAAGATATTGGATGAGGAATATGGATACAACTGGATGGGGCTTAACCAGTGGCTTAATACGAATTTTTCGCGTCGTAGTTGGATTGGTCGGTTGAAAGTATCCTGACCTACTACCCTCTGTATCCCCGCTACTGATTCAGATTGGACACAATGCTCAAAAAAATTGCAATTTTAGTACATTTTATTGCAGTAAGGGATTCATAATAGGCAAAATTAGCATGTTTTAGAACGGGCATGCTTATTTATCTCGAAAACGGTACGTTTTTCGGAAAAAATTGAGATGCAAAAGTCGGTAAATTGAACAATCCATCCTATTTGACAACTGGAAGATGTCAGAGGCGATCTACGAAAAATTTTGAGGGGAATAAAAAAGCATCTACCACCAAAAAAACATCACCCTGTAGATTTTTAAAATCTTTGAAACGCTTCAAATGATGATCTTCTAGAAAGTATTGACCACACCAAATTTCGAATTGATATCTTCAGAAGGGAGCGAGATATTTCAATTAATAAAAAAAAACAATTGAACTTTGACCCCCCTGTAGCTCCACTGCTGATCGAGATCCGATACGTATTTATGATAAAAATGATGAGATTTATAACCTATTTCAGTTTATACCTTAAAACCTGAATCACCCTATATATTCCATTCCAACCAAGAAGACAGAATTGAAAAGCATAGGAAGGTGCAGACCTTTGCCTTGATTGGTTAATATTAGAGGCAACCTGCCTACTGATATGACGTAAATTTTGAAGTTTTCATTCATTCATTCATTATTTGTTGTATTTTTTTACAATAAATCCTGACAATAAATTTGAACCCGAGGTGGAATTCAACCATTAGATTGGCCATGATTTCAAATTGCGCCACATATTCATTTCTTCAGTGTAAACAATCTTCTTATTTGTAATGTAGTATAATAATAATTATTGCTAGTAAGATATTAAGTAAGCCTCACCTCATTCAGACGATTTACAGGATCTAATAGAAAGATAATGAAAAATTGCTGCAGTAAAATGCAAACCTATAATAAAATAATGAAAAAAAAAACACATGTTTTGACTGAAAATTACACTTGATAGCAAACAAACTGAATTAACTACATAGTCATTGAATTATTGAGTGAGAAACTTCTTCTGTTAGAATCCTGTATTTTAGTGATTTGCTCTAAATGGGAACTAATCTGGGCTGTGTTTCTATCAATCCATTGTAAGGAATTCATGTGAGCATTGAGAATTCGACTTATTTGGGTTATCTGAAAAAAAGAACAGAAGATCTACATACAATCTTGACTTGATAGATAGAAATTTTAAAATAATAATATTTTATATCAAGGGAATCAAATTTTTGTGACCTCGCCCCATAACTTTACAGCAAAGTAAAACTTATGAATCATTGTATTGTCTTCAAATGATATTACAGGAAGACATTTGTAAAACTTCCCACCAATATCTTCCTTCCAGTGAATAATATGAGAAACCGAAAAACCAGGTCGTTTTATTTTCAAGGGGGACACTTGAAATTATTAGATTTAGCCTTCTTGGTTCAACCCCCTAGGAGGGGTAGATGTTATCCTTAGAATATCCAATAGAACAGGGGTCAAGTGGCACATCATTTTGAAGGGCGTTCAATCAAATATCTCCTTTTCATTGAATGATATGAAAAAGCGAAAAGACGCATCAATTTCATTTCTAAGGAATACACTTAAAATGCATATTTTTAGCCCTCTTAGTTCAAGCCCCTAGAAGGGGTAGATGTAATCGTTAGAACCTCATATGAAAAGGATGGTCGAGATGCACATTATTTTGAAGGGCGTTCAAGTCTGTTTTCAACAATACCCTAGTTTTTCATTTTTTGATCAGCAGTTGCCGAAAAATGCCGTTCTAAACTTACAGATGTAATTAGAACATCGCCTGATATGCATGGTTTTCAGGTTAGTATTATTGTTTTGACTTCTTTCAGTCAGAGTTTCAGTCCAAATAGTAGGAAGATTTTGAATGCATCTCAGTGCAGACATGTTCCAATAGTAGTAGTAGTAGTAGTATTGTGGGGAGGCTGTAGCCAGGCAAGTAGGCACCCATGGGCCCTTTTTGCCAGCATGTTCCAATAAGTTTACGACGGCATTTTTAGGAAACTGCTCATTGAAGAATGATACACTAGGGTACTGCCGGAAAGATAATTGAATGCCCTTTAAGGGTAACATCTATCCCTCCTAGGGGGTTCAACCAAGAGGGCTAAAAATATGCATTTAAAGTGTCCCCCTTGAGGATGAAAATTACCTATCTTTTCGATTTTTCATATTATTTATTGAAAAGAAGTTATTAAGGATGGAAAGTTTTATAATTGACACGGCATTTTCCGGAAACTGCTCAACAGAAAATGGATAAACTAGGGTACTGTTGGAAAGCGAATTGAACGCCCTTCAAACTGATGTGCCACTTGACCCCCTTCCCATTTGGGATCCTAGGGGTAACATCTACCTCTCCTAGGGTGTTGAACCAAGAGGGCTAAATGTGTGCATTTTAAGTGTCCCCCTTGAACATGAAATTGACCTGTCATCTCGATTTTTCATATTATTTACTGGAAGCAAAATATTGAGGGAGGGAAGTTTTCAAAATTTCATATTATTTTGCAATAACTAACTATAAAAATAGTAATTATTTATAGAAATATTGCAGGTGATATTATTTTTTAAGAACAAATTACCCTTCAATATGAAATTGATTTGTTTTATGAAAGAAAATAAAAACCTCAGCAAACGTTGGTCCATGACTTGACAGTATACATCTTTGATCTAAACTTACCGGATTCGTAGTTTCTTCATCCTTGTTGGACTCATTGATGTGTTCGATAATTTCTTTCAGATCATCTGACATTTGTTTCAACTGTGAATCAATGATTTCAGAAAACTGATACCTGTAAAAATTAAAAGTATTTCAATTACCTCATGGACTTATGCTCCAATTATGATTACTCCTTTGGGATTTAACAAAGGGTTATTGCCGATCCCTTGCATATCCCTTCCTTTACATATGCAATTCATATTTACATACAATATTGACTGGCGATTGGATGATAAACAAAGGAAACATTATTTTCATTGATATACGTTGAGAAGATTGAGAATACCCCCAGTATCATGATAGTCTTCAATTCAAAACACTGTGACTGAAGTGGTCTGTTACATTTTAAATGAAAGATCAGATCATTCCGTCCACTTCGTCAAAGAGGTAAAGGTTAAGATGAATTCAATGAGTCTGTTTCAGTGAGAAATGTTATTTATTTTTTTCGGAGTACTAACCCTAACTAGTCCACTGTCATAAATCGTATGTTCCTCAGAGCTCTGTACATGTTTCAAATTGTTGAAATTAACGATATTTCATTTTTCAAAATATGTTATGAATTTTCTGGACTGAATACTTGCCGATAACAGAAAACAGAACATACAAGTGAATCACATAATATGAGGATTATCTTTGAATATTCACAGGATTTTATTAGACTTGATCCTGGATTTGACTAGATTATAGGTTCATAAGATCAATGTGACAAGACTAGGATGACGTTAGTAAGTGGGAATAAGGGACCAGGTGGAACCATTGTCTTCTGTGAATATGAATACTGTTGTCATTTGTCATATCGATGGTCGGTTTCATAATGCATTTGATGGGGGATTAAATATTGAATTTGTATTGGCATCATCTTCCTTATTAGCTGATGAGTTAGAGAAGAGTTGATTAGTTTGCAACGTCCCTGAATCTCTAGGTAATTACTAGTTATAAGATTGGTAGCATCGAAATATGGGGTCATGCTCGCATTGGTTGTTGAGGAGACAAGAGGAATATATCAACAAATATTACTATGCCACGTGAGAAGGTGTATGACGTCATCGAATACTGGCGTTTTTCGAAGGTGCCGATTTCAATTATTGAAAACAGTATTTGTGATGAGTTTTCAAAAACGAATGATTGCATGAAGAGCTGAATTCATCAATGCATCACACTTGGGGTCTAGCGGAAATGATTACAGAGATATAGGTTGTTCAAAATCGAGATGGTATGTTTTGGGGCAAAACTATTCATTATTGGTCGAAACGGCTTACACGTCCCTATCTTAACGCTTGATTTACTATCTACCGACATTAAATTAGAACATATACAGGATGATCAAAATTCTTCTCAAACCACCTTGTATTTGTTCCAATTAAATGTCAGTAGATAGTAAATCAAAAGTTGAGATAGTGACATGGAAGCCGTTTTGATCGATATTGAAGTTTCAACACAAAAAAATACTCAAGTTGAAAAATCTCGATTTTGAACACCCTATATCTCCGTAATCATCCCCGCTATATCCCAAGTGATGAAAACAGCTCTTCAGGGATAATCTAAAAACACAATGACATACAAGGTGTTCCGATTGAAATATCAAAGTTGCTACTACTTTCAGGTATAAGCGGCAACGCTGCATTGCTGAAAATATTTTAGATCGGTAGACCAAGAGCAACTACTTGAGAAGATAGATTCTGAAAATTTAAACGTCTAAGGTACCATCGATCATGACCTACCCTGTATAAGTATTATTATTATATTGTTGTTTACCTAGTTTTCCGAGACCACCATGTCAGTGCTGCTTGGGGTATCTTTTTTTCTGGATAGTGCTATTTTAAATAATATTTGCACTATGATTGAAGCCAAGCAGCCATCAAAGCGCTGGGCTCACGTAATCAGCGCTAAGATGAGACTGCCTAGGAAACCTGAACGATTCTGGTCTCTAGGTTCCGGGGCATACCGGACTGGAGGGGAATGAAATAGCAGATGAACTCGCGAACATAGGTGCTGAAACACCATTCATGGGACCCGAACCCATCTGTGGGATCAATAAAACAACAAATATTAGAAAATTGAATGAAGAAATGTATCTATCTAAAGAGAGCAAGACACTGGCAGGACCTTAAAGGTACGAGACAAGCAAAGACACTCCTGGGAACCCACAACCAGAAAAGATCTACAGAATGCATCAACCTAAGTAAAAATAAGATTCAAATAGTAACTGGAGTCCTACTAGGACACTATCGATTGAGAAGAAGATCTACCCTCTTTTTGAAACCATCCCATATCCTCAACTTTCTGAGGAGAATAGGATTGGAAGAACAACTATAATTGAGAAGTCCTGAGACGCATAGCAAGAAGAGAGGACATAATAGATCACATGGATCGCGGTGTACACATCAACCTTATCTACACATACAGGGTGGCCAACTAAGAATGCGAGGTACTGTATCTGGGAAACTATCCGTCGTAGAGGCTTGCAGCAAAAAGGTTATTGCTTAAACGACCAAGAGAAAAACCTGGAAAATATTTTCAAGTTTCTGAAATGGCCGCTAGGTAGCGTAATCCCAATGTTGAATCTTAAAAGTGACGTTTCTATGAATTCCGCTATATTAACCCAACAAAAAAATACGTGATCTTCAATGTCGAGGATCATCTCAACCTTTTTTTGTTCGACAATTTCTGCTGTATCTAGAAAATAAAGGTTTCCGTGAAAAACACCCTGTACTTCCGAAACATCTGAACCGATTTTAACAAACTTGGGCTAGTGGAACAGAGCTATTCATGAGGTTACAAATGTTATGATATTTAAAGCAGCAGGGTTGGTACGAATTAGTTCATATGACTTAAGTCAGTGATTTAATTCGTGAATAAATCCAAATGATTTTTTTTAAATCATGAATTAATTCAAACTTACTCCAAGGGGAACAAATCGCATTATTACCTTCAATTTGAACTAGTTTCGAAATGAAAAATCCAATGGCATTATGGCAATCAGACCATCATAAACATCTGAGCGTCCACAGGCAGAAAACTCACTTTTATATACTTATAGGGTATCGTGAGTTTCACAAAAAAGTAGCCAACATTCGCGAAAACCGCAAATGCCTAACTATGAAAATAAGTGTGATACATAAATGATTGAAACCATTGTCACATTATCCGAATAAAAATCTTGGAAAAACAAATTATATGAATAAATGGCGCTCACATCTGATTCCTATCGATATCGCCGACGGGCACCTCGAGCAGCTCCTTCTCCAGCGGCGCCACCAGCTCCTCCAGCTCGCGCTGCTGCGCCAGCACGAAGTCGAGCTCTTGGTCGAGCTGCCGCTGCTGCTGCTTGACGCGCTCGATGCCGCCGTTCAGCTGCAGGATCTTGGCGCCGTCGGAGATCAGCAGCGAGTCCCACGCGTTCAGCTGCTTGGCCTGGTTGACGAAGAACTTGCCCTGCTCCTCGAGATCAACCGTCCACTTATTGATCGAGTCCTCGAGCTGGGCGAAGGTGAGCGAGCCAGTGGCGGGGATAGTGGATACGGAAGAGGTGACGCTGGTCGGGGCCCTGATGAGGGTATCGGGTACAATTCGTGGAAATCATCCATATTTGTAAAAACTTCACGAACGATAACATTTCCACAAAATCTTCAAACACACGACATGTTTCCCTAACACAGTAGCTTCGTCAGGTGATATACTGGTACGATGAACTAAACTAACCTTGGCTTGCTTATATATCCTATTTCCCAACCTGAAGGATTAGTTACCTGTGGATAGGTTCGATAAACCTCCATTTTCGGAAATGAGGCACAATATCTACATTAAAATGCGGTTTACCGGATTAACTTGAGAGGGTTGATAGCAAATACATATTATTACTAACTAAGAAAACAAATTCAATAGTGGTGAACTATTGAGGTCTAATTGATCTTTAAGTAAAATGTCAGAATTTTTTAGTTTGTTGATTTCTAATGATTCAAAATGATTGAGTTTCATTCCTTTATTTTCTACGTGTAGAATTTCGGAATTATCATCAAAACTATGGTTTCTGATTGATATATGGTTGACGTATGTTGAATTTGTTTTGTTTTTCATAAAATTCATCTTATATGTTCATGGATGCGCTGTTTAAACCTACGACCTGTCTGACCGATATATACCTGTGGACAAGATCCACAGTTGAGTTTGTATACCCCTGATTTTTCGAATTTAGAAGTTTTGTCTTCATTATTCTTGATGAACCTTCATGTTTTTGTAGAAATTTTATTATTCTTGATGGAAGGATAAACTTCTTGAATAGCTTCATTGGTTGTTGAACACACCCTCATCAACATAAAATTGCAGCTTGTAATAGTATGATACACAGGCTAGTGAATGTCCCTCTCTCGGAAATAAATTTCATCAAGAACTCAATATCATAAAACAGATTGCAGTCAACAACGGATACAAGGTCAATTTTATAGACAGTATTATTTCTAAATAAACTCCATAATAAAGCTATTCAAGAAGTGTATCCTACCATCAAGTATAATAATCAAAATTATAGAACTTTAACCTATTTTGGATCATCAATTGAAAAATTAGCTTCATTCCTATATAAACAGGACTTAAAAGTAGCATATAGAACCAATAACACGTTGGGAAGGTTCATCAAGAATAATAAAGACAAAACTTTCAAATTCGAAAAATCAGGGGTATACAAACTCAACTGTGGATCTTGACCTAAGGTATATATCGGTCAGACAGGTCGTATGTTTAATCAGCGCATTCATGAACATAAGACGAATTTTTTAAAAAAGAAAACAAATTCAACATACGTCAACCATATATATTAGAAGAAAACCATAGTTTTGAAGATAATTTCGAAATTCTACACGTAGAAAATAAAGGAATGAAACTCAAATCATTTATAAGAAATCAACAAACTCAAAAATTCTGACATTTTACTTAACGATCAATTAGACCTCAATAGTTCACCACTGTTGAGTTTGTTTTCTTAGTAAGTAATAATATGCATTTCATATCAAGTTTTTACATTTGCCATGGATTTCCATCAAGTGACGGCCGAGTCAATTAAAGAAAATCATCCATATTTTTCTCAAAGTGATCCAAGTTAATGAAAACCAAAATAAAATACCATGCCGGTCGACCACACATAATTTAATTTATAAATTAAACGTAACTAAACTACGCAGCACTAATCCCGTCGCACTCCAAAATGTTACCCCTGTTATAATGTAAACAATTTTTGTCTGTTTTGAAAAATTTGAATCCGGATCACTGTTCGCTAGTCCAGTACTTTAGCTATAATCTGGTACTTCTTTGAAACATAGGGGTCTTAACATAAAATCTCTACATGGTGTTTCCCAACACTGCAAAATTTCGGAATATTAAAAATGATCCCAAATGAAGAGAAAACATTTTTTCTCAACTTTGATAAGAGAGGCATGAATATGATCTCATTATCTGGGATATTATGTGAATCGTCTTTCTATCTCTCTTATTTATACAGAGTGATCTCAAAAAATCAACTTTTTGGTTTTGCAGTCATAACTTTTTTCCACGTTAACCGATTTTTGAGATACCAGGCTCATTTTGAACATGGAACTTCAGATGGAGAGTTGTGAAGATTAGAATTGACTCAAGATGGATATCAAAGATCATGAGTTTTCTCAAAAGTGGCCCAGGTCTGGAACACCCTCCGATTTCAGGTCAGACGTCGATTTCAAATCTTATACAAAAATTGCTAGTATTGATGCCGCATTTAACGCCCGACCAGCTGGAACTGATTCCACTAATGAGGGAACGAGGATTATCTTCCCTCCAAATCGCTAATCTGCTCAATACAACTGTCAGATCAAAGGGAAGAAAAACCTGCCCTACAACTACAGGCATATTGCCCTGCTCCCAATTATTTCCAAAGTGATGGAGAAATCCATCAACATTGAGCTAATGAATCTCCAATCTCTCTCCTCAACCCTAGAAGCCATAGATATAGAAAATGCTAAAATAATTTGTAATTACGTACATGATATTCTGAAACTTCGATCATTTATTCTGAGCGAATAACGGTCAATATTAGTATAGGTACTTATAACTTACTAGGATCACTGTAAACTAAAATTTATGTTCCCAACCAAACCCTTGCTGTAACTTTATGTTTCAAGGCAATAAAACTATTATTATTATTATCAAATATCTGGAAAGCTCAAGAATCATCAATGATACACAATATGACCTCTGCCACCAAAGATCAACTGGAGATCTACTTGCCTACATCCCCCATATACGGCAAGCTTCCTTAGAAAAACATTTTCTAATGAAGCTTGCCATCTCTAGATGTCGCGTTAAGACATATCGAACAAATATCGAAAGCATTCGACCGTGTTTGGTACCAAGGACTCCTTCACAAACTACCATCATACGGATTACTACCTCAGCTATGCCATCTTTTATCGAGTTTTCTTTTAGGCAGATCGCTCGACGTGGTGATGGTCGGAGTGGTCTGCGGTCACTTAGATATCTTTGCAATCGCCAACAAATTGTATATGCAAATGGTGTAAAATCGGCCACCCTTTATGCAGACGACTCTAATTTCATAACGACTATAGAACACTCCCAAAATGGCCAAATTATAACGTCCAAAATAAATGAATTGTCAAGACAGAATGGTCTGAGTATAAACAATGTAAACCACTAGACTATAGTATCTTAGTGAGATCAAATGATGCGAGTACTATACAACAATTGAAGTTTTTGGGCATTCACATGGACTCCAAACTGAGCAAACTGAGGCACTATTTAAAACCGTGAACTTTCTTTCTTTTTTGTTTCGAAAACTCAGACCGCATGTCAGTGATTCCTCTTTATTCATGATCTTCTATGGCCAATGCTACCCAAAGCTCTCGTACGGCGTGATCTTTTTGGGGTATTTCACAGATTTTCGAGGCACTATTGATATCGCAAAAAATATATTCCGGCAAATTGCGATGGTACCTCGGAGGCACTCATGCAAAGAGCTTTTTATTAAATATAACCTACTCACCGTTATCTCAGTATTTATTTTTGCATGCTCAGTGTATGTGAGAAATTGGAAAAATGAATATAGAACCTTCGAAGATGTTCACAGTCACGACACTCACGGAAAAACTAGAATATGCACTCCTCATCATCACCTGACCAGTGCCATGGATGGGCCCATGCAATGTCAATCAAAATATTCAATAATTTACCATCAGAAATGAAGAACACTTTTAGCATAAACATGTTCAAGATAGATTTGAAAAACTATCTGTTACCCAAAGTTTATTACTCAGTAAGTCAGAATTTTTTTCAGTAAACCAAAACTGTAATGAAGATGAAAATAATCATGTTGTTATCAGCAGTGTTTTAGTGTGGGCTCTACAAAAGACATTTCGATATTAATTGTAATTTTATATCTCAATACTTCATTTTTATTTAGTGTCGTGTATCATCTATTGATAACGATTGTTTTTTACATTTTCTGACGCATCCTATATCATATATGTCTGTATAAACCTTTTATATGGATATGTCTTGATCTGAAACGAATTAAAGAAATTGTCAATTTCGAAGAATTCCCATTTTTACCCAGAAAAACTCACGGCAAGTCAACGCTGTCAATAAAGATCTACATACATCATTCCATACGTCTAATGATGGCCGATGGCCGACACTAGTTATATTTCTTTTAGTAAATTTTGTGTGGTCCGATTTGGTGATTTATTTCGGTTTTGATTATATCCAATACAAATACCAAGGGACCAAGATCATATAGCGAGACTTCTGCCGAGAGCTATGATATCTCATAGTCCCATGGCAGAAATATTCTTTCCTACCAAGGTGTATATTATATTCTCCTCACCACTTACAATCCTCAATGTCATATTACTTTTATTTTTATATGAGGAATGTTTCCGAAGATAGATCCAGTTATTTCAAGGTTATTGAAGAATACATGCCAGATATTTGAAAAATATGAAAAAGTATTTTCAGTCTACACCTTTTCCAGTTGTATTTCAGAATTTTCTTACTGCATATCAACTCATACAATGTTTTCAAATATGAAAAAATGTAAGTTTCACTACAACCTTAACATTTTTTCATATTAGGTGGGAATTATTATAATTATCATTTATTGAATATGAAAAAAATTAATCATATTTTTCAATAACTTGCCAATGCCCATTCAATTGTTTTACTCATAGAAGGAGAAGATTGATAGTTGAAAACTATGTTCAAAAGAGATTTTTCATCGCTCTTTTGAAAAAACTCTGTAAGTATGATGGCAAGAGGACACCCAGTATGGTGAAACCATAATGTTATCTGAAAGGATACTGCAATCCTGTCGAATTGGCTAAATTCTTGATATGTAGAGGCCACATACATAGCATTTATAATGAAGGATAAATATTATTGTATTTTTTGTGCAAGTCACAGTATAATGATAAATAATCTCATTGAATTTTTTTCTAGTTCTATCTCTTATTAGTCAATGTTTGAGTAGGAATGTAATTTTGCATTTTTCCTCTTATAAAAATTCGTTTATGAATAAATCAGCACACCTAAGAAATTTCACAAACTATTCAATATCTGCGATCCTGAGCCTCATCAACTCAGGATAACCAATTGATCATTTTCAAACAATAGTATGATCATCAAATGCATTTGAAAAAATATACTATGTATATAAGTAATCAAAATATTCCACCTAAGATGTTTGAAGGAATATTTATCTAGAGATGCTAATGAATACAGATGTCTACTACTTATATGGAACAAGTTAATAAAGTTGTGTATCTCCTTTGTACACAGGATGAACATGAAATATAGAAAAACTGTTTTGTATGAATGCATCCTGGAACACACTGTATAATTCTTGTATAGTTCTTGACCAGCAGCAACAATAATTTTGAGACTTTTACATATAAAAAATATTATAATGATAGCTCAAATAGCATTATTTATCAGGAGTAAAGTAATCAATATTGAAACTTTGGCGGCCTCTAGCGCCAAAACTAGCCACTACATCAGTTTGGTATTTGGACATTTTGTTTAGAATGTCTTGGACTATAACATATCAAAAATTCAGACAATTCCACAGGAGACCAATTTCCCCTATAAAACGTGGGGTGTCCTTTGAATATTGTTTATATTGTTGAATGCAGTTGAAGTAAAATTTACATTCTTTAGACTTACAATACAGTTGATGTTGTTGGGGCAGGAACAGATGATGCAACAGTAGTAGTTGAAGGCACCACAAATGATAATTTGGCTGCAGGAGCAGAACTACTAGGAGTGGAGAATGATAAACCTGTGAAATTAATTACATGATTGATTTCAATTAGTGCTTTGATTAGAATGGGCTTATATCACAAAAAAATTTTATTTCATAATTCGATAGAACTCACCCAAACTAGCTCACCACCGCAAACCGTTTCTTGCTGTGAGCTCCCTACGTTTTATAAAAAATTATTGAAATCCCCGATTTTTCGGACCTCTGAAAACGAGGCGATGATGTGACGTCAAAACCCTAATACTGAAACAAGACTATTCCAGACAGAGATGAATGATACATGATTTCTGACAAATCAATTCTAACCTAGATTGACTTTTTGCAGCTCCATGTGAAACGGGTCAACAAAGCAATGTTGCTATGTTTATGAAATATATTGGATTATTGTGAAATTGTAATGGTGCAAATGGTTTTGAGATTGAGACATTTCGTTGTCTAGAGATTGTTTATACTCCAATGATTCAACCTACAATCGACAACTCGAATATATTTTTCTGCAGTAGTGGTAGTGGATATCAAAAGATATTTCAATATCGATTTCGATTTCTCGGATATTTTGTTTGGATGATATGGCAACAGTAATAAGTGTCAGGAGAGTGTCAGTTCCAACCATATATCTACTATTTCTATATATGGCGCATCGCCTATACGATATCTCAACAAAAATGGGATTGAATCTATGAGAACGAAAAGTGAAGGATGGAAACAGCCATATTGGTTTGACAAATTTCCTATTATTTTTTCCCAACGTCGGTATCAACGCCTATTGGTCGATTTCATTACCTATACAGAAATGGGTCCCGCTTTGAGGAGAGCTATGATTCATATATCAGTAGTAGATATATATGGTTTATATATATATATGGCGAGATGGGGTTTCTACGTCATAAGAGGGTCTCCGTTTTCAGAAGGTACTATCATTTATGTCCAAAAATAAAACATTCCAGTTAATTTTTCGATCGAATTATGTCGTCAATCATTATTTATGTATAAAAGGATCATTATAAACATGGTTTGAGTTAAAAGTTCTACTAAGGTGTACACGCCCATTACTTGAAGGAGGAACTGAACGGTGTTTTTTTTCCTCCATTTCAACGCCGCAATTTTCAAATTCATATCATCATTAAGCGACCACTCTTGGCCGGCAGACGCACGGTTCCTATTTCAATGCAGAATGAATAACGCACCTGCAATGTCATTCTTGTGATAACTTATGAGGCGCAGTTTTACTCCTGGCTCTTGGTCTATATCTTTTTTGATTTCATTTTGTAAACATTTTCTCTGAAACACTAAAAATTGATTCTGAGGCCGATTCACAGATCGTTTTGAAAATTTGTGGGCAGGAATAATCAAACATGCTCTATCCCTCTAGAATATTTTTATCAATGCAGTGTTGCTGCTTATATTAAAAAAGTAGCAGGAACTTTCTTATTTCAATTGGAATCCTTATAAGATTCCTCATAACTTTCACTGATAATACCCTATCCCTATCTCTGATAATTTTCAGATAAAGTTTATTTTGTTAAATTTTTGTGCAAAAACTAACCCTTGTATTACAAGGTGTTTCACGGTGGATGGAACATTAGAAGTATGTGGAGAACCAAAGACAGATCTTTTCGAAACTTTGTGTGCTTAGACAATCAAGCATGCTCTATCTGTCTGGAATATTTTCATCTATGCCGTTTATATCATAAAGTAGTAGCTACTTCATTATTTCAAATGGAACACCTCCTACATCATGTAATTTTTGGTATCCTTATGAAATTCCTCATAACTTTTCCTGATAATTCCCTATACTGGCCTATACTGATCTGTAAAGGTTCCAGAGATAAAAATTATTTTGGATTATTTTTTTGCAAATAGTATCCATGAAAAATGAGGGTTGTTTCACAATGTGAATTCACAAAACCTTGCTATTCAGGTCATAGCTGCATAAGACCATTGCATATTCGACCTATGAACTGTACCTCAGTTTCAGCATACAGGAAGGTTCAAAAGTAACTTCCCTTCATGGACTCATGAAAACAACTGAAACTCAGTATTTTTGAAAGGAACACCCTGTATATTATTACTTACTTGGAAAGTTGAGATACTTTACAAATTGTGAAGTTTCCTAGAGTCACTGGATGATAATAACTTATACCATCCACTATCTAGGGAGATTCATGAAAATATGAAAATAAATGGAACTCAATTTTTTTAATGGTATTTCACTACTCATTTGGAAAACTGTGACATTTTACCATTCAACTGTGTAAAATCCTCCAAACTCACTTCATAAAGTTTGTTAGTTATGATCTCTGTTATGATGATTCATGGTATGAATTTATTTTCAATAAATGAATTATTGTGTAGTAATTCAGATAATAGGCATTGAATTCCTTCATTGTCATCCTGACTTCGAGATCCATAGGTGTGAAGTACTATGGTAGAAAATTATGGTCAATGTAACAAGAAAGTCAGCAGCACATGTTGGGAGGTCAATGAATGTATCCTGATTCACCTCAAATGAATTTGGGACAGTTCATCAGAATGAGTAGAAATGAAAAGCTAAAAGTATCTACACCATTACATTTTCTAGATTTATTAGTACATACACATGTTCAACTTTGATACTAAAAAATTTGAGGGGTTCATTTGAAATAACAAAGTAACTACTACTTTCTGATATAAGCAGCCACAATGTATTGATCAAAATATTGTAGACCAACACTAATACTTTGATCTAATTAAAACACAATAGAAAAGTCCGTGACCTTGCACTTTTCTATAGATACTTCCATAGGAAATATTCCTCAGAAATATCTGCTATCATTCCATCACTAGCAGTACCAGTCAGACAAACTTGACAGGCTCAGTCAGCATATCCTTTCATTGTCAACCTTGAAATATGTCAAACAACATTTTACCAAAAATCATTAGTCTATAGAATGGGCAATGCTTCGGAATTCTTTGCCAATGAAAGAATTCCCAAGAACTTATGAGCTCCAACAGTTCAGTTCTTCTCCCTATCCTCCCTAGGTAGGCATGATGTTCCTGGAACATCATATTATAAATTTACTGCCATGCACTCCAAGAGATTAAGAAAGAGGAAACTTCTAATGTTCCATTCAGAATGAAACATTTGAACATCTTGTATAATATGGTGGATATCAGTGCTTGAGGAAAATTTATCACAAAGTCAATGGATATTGGAAATGCTTTCATGAGAACATACAATGTTTGCGAACAAATATTTTTAGCCACTTCTGAAAAGAAAATTGAAACTGCACACATGAACAAGACATTTTCAAATGATTTTGTTCATTTTATCCATTTTGTCCAGAGAGGCTAGACAAACTCAAATAAAATGACCCCACAATTTGATATAATGCTCAATCAACATTCCATAATTGATAATAAATGCTGAATCACTTACCTGTAGCAGTTGTTGTAGGGGTAGTACCAGAGGTGGCTGTTGAAGATCCAAAAAGTGAAGGGGTAGTTGAAGAAGCTTTACTAGTCCACTGATTGAGTTGGGGGGTTGCTGATGTTGCTGTTGAAAATAAACCTACAACATCAATGGATAGTCAATGAATCCTTTCATTACCACTTGAGAGCAGGTACTTTTACTTTGCCTTGAGCTGAATAAAATATGTTATATAAAAAACAATCATTATCTTTGTTGCCATTGATTAGTCCAGTAGATGAAGGAAAAAAGCAAAGGATATTCACATCAAATACATCTCTCCCTACTGAATGGGAAAATAGTTTGCAAATTTCCATTCTACCCATGATGCTCTAAACACTGAACACTTAATGTCAAATACATAAATTATATATAATTAGTTATCTTGTGCCAGTACTGTTACCGAGACTGTTACCAACCTGATGTTCCAAGTGATACTGCAGGTGCAGTTGACTGAGTGGAGATGCCAAATGCTGGAGCAGTAGTTTTAGCCTGTGGAGGTGCTAGTGCAGAAAAACTGGAGGGACTATTATTGGAGACATATGATGGAGCCTTGAATAAGGTGGCACCAGTTTGAGGCTTGTTGTCTCCAGAACCAACACCTAATTGAAATCCTGTTGTGGATGCAGCTATAAGAAAGTTGAAAGTAGGAATTTTCCAATAATTTGAACTTGTTGAAAATAACTCACTGGTAGTTGGATTTGTAGGCAGTGTAAAACCTGTGGCTGGTGCATTGGTAGTTGGGGTTGAACCGAAATTAAAAGCCATCACTGATTTATTACTAAAAAAAACTTGAGCTAATAAATACCCATATCCGATATACAATGCAGTAGATAAGCAAAGGTTTTTCAGGTTGACGGTTTTTAAGTTTATGGTTTTTAACCTAAAAATCAAACAAAACAAAACAGAAAACACAAAAAAATTAAGAAGCACCACAAAACACAAGGTTTTGGGTTTTGTGGTTTTGGTTCCCTGCCAATTGTCATTGTCATATATCTACTATTTCTATATATGGCGCATCGCCGTCGGCATTAACGCCTATTGGTCGATTTCGTTACGTAGGGTCCCTTTTGATGTGAATTGACGTATTTGTCATCTCCTCGTCTCCTCTCACTCTGAAGTGTTTGTGAAACAACTATATAAATTCATCTTTATTAATTTCTGGAGATAAACCGATGAACACTAGATTCCTAGGTTATATTGAGGACATTGGCGTATCATACGGAATTTCTCATTCAACTCTACATATTATATCAAAATGATGATAATTCTTGAGTTTTTGATTTTTCAACTCCAGCATGATCTCTGTGAGGCAGTGAGCAAATTTTTCTGAAAGTTTAATACGTCCCAAATGGGAATGTTCTTAGGCAGTACAGTAGTATTTAAAAAAAGCGTACAAGTAGGTATATTGGAAGGAGAAATTAACGTCATCCTATTTGCGTAAAACGGGCTATCGGGAATGAATGTTCACCAAATGTTGACAGTAGAGTAATCATAGGTTCTCAAAAACATAAAGCATTGGCTGAACCAATTTTACATAACGAGAACTAGAATTCCGAAATCTTCTATGTTCAATACTTGTACGCTTTTTCGTTGAATACGACCGTACCTATCAATAAATGAATTTTTCTGCAACCGACACAAAAGTCGACGTTACTATTACTGACACCATAATAGGTATGTTGCTAGGCAACGTATTTAGTTCCTGTAGGAGCTAGAGTTGAACTTTAGCTCCTAGGAACTTAAAAGGATGTACTGTACGTCATCAAGAATAAACAACATTGTACCTTCGGTTGGTTATTTGGGTTGAGACGCATACCTGATTTGTTTCCGATTTCGGCAGATTTGGCATTTCATACCCACGCTAAAGATAAAAATACACCATATTATAGTTAGGTATTGGAACTATTAACATCTCAGTTGAGTATTTCTGTTTTGATCAGGGAAGCCTTCAAGATTCAAATAGGTACTTATTTGCTTGATCTGTATTTCATTCGTTATTCTCGGGATGGATAACTTGTTTTTGAATAATCACGGCAAGCAATAGTTTTGTTGTCTCAAACAACGATATCGTTTACCTTCAATTGATTATCAAGTAAAACACAATGTAGTATGGAGAGGAATAAATAATCGCTATTATTATTGTTGATATGCTCACTAACCTAATAACATTTTCCACGTCTTGTTCCCATAGCTGGATTAAAGCACCTGGTCCATCCTTGGAAATTGAATGAACCTGCTGTTGATACAGGTAGAATGTTCTCACTACACGGATTATTTGTCAATATTTGTTGCATTGCATACATATGGCACGGCATTGGTGGTAACTTCACATATTTATTTGAGTTAATTGTTTCGGTTGCAGAAGAAATAGCATGTTTCATTCGGATCAAAAGTGACTTTGTTCGACTCGCAAATTTTGCTTTCGCTCGGCTTCGCTGAACGCTCCGCCTCGCAAATGCAAAATTCGCTTGTCAAACAAAGTGTCACTTTTGATCCTAATGTGTGCTGTATCTATTCATGTTGGCAATCATTTTAACAGTTCTTCACGAACACTTAATATAATATTTCCTGAATGAAGGTTCAATTTTTTAAATGGTAGGGCATAAGTATATATGCCTCTTTCTTTCAATCCTCCGTTCTCCAGAAACGTCTAATGTACACTCGACGTGTATTTTGAAAAAGTTATGATTTTTTCCAAATTCACAAAAAGGGGTTCTGTGTGGGGGTTTTTTGTTGCCCGACAAAATATTGTGAGATATACAGATTATTGAACACCCGTGAAGGAATACATTATTGGAAAATAGTTTTATCCACGGATATATTTTGGAGGTTTTAGTAATTTCATGGTCACGAGTATTAATTATAGTAATAAACGACCATTGGTGGTATGGCACTCACCCCGAATAATTGGCCAAGTCGTGGCTGGAACTCGTGGCTGGTTTCACACTGATTCCTCATAACCCCCCAGGGGGGCATTTCTGGACACATGATTACCTAGCCTGCAGTAACGATAGTTGAGTGGAAGCGAGAGACTCTAGTAGTCTGAAGCTAGAAGTAGATGGCTTAGGACTGAAACTTCAATGCCATTAAGTCATCATAGTCTGAGAGCCAGCGGTCGACAGACTTCAGACTTATACGGTAAATCCGAGGGTATACATATATGTACGGTATGCACTATTGATGCTATATTCACTATTTCACCTGCCGTATTGTGAAATAGGATTTCACTATTCCCATCGACGGTTACTTTGGGCGTATACAGAGGTCACAAAACGTCAAGTTTTTTTTTCAAAAATGTGATCGCAGGATGTCTACCCTTTCAATATCCTAAAGTATTTTTTTTTTCATTTGAAAATTCGATGGCAGACACTGGTTCGATACTTCGGAAATTTTATAAAATCTGGAGTTATTTCAGCAAACCTAAAATTCTGATATTGTTGTTGTTTTAAAATTGTTCCATCCGTCATTCGGATGCCCCCTTACGAGCAACCCTCAGAAGTCTTTGAGAGTCTTGTGCGAGCAAGGAATGACGGGGCCTTACCTTTCAACGTGTGATCCCAAACTCAAATATTTATATAATATTATCCATATATATTAGTAGAAGCAAATACATAGGACGGTTCCAACTTGTGGGCAGACGATATATTGTTTCTTCTGTCAATGTTGGTGTGCAATATTGAGACTCATATCGCTCACTCTTTATCTTGCAGGGAACCAGAGCTTTCATGCTCTCCAGCTCTCGTGTAAAAATGATTGTTCATTGAACATTACCTTCTTTGAATGAAGCAGATGTTTTTCTTTCCGATAGACTAGGAATTTTATATGACCTCAACAATGCGAAATAAGCTTTCATACCGCCTTTGATGTCCGATAGCTCAAAATTCGTAACCTTGAGTAGCACCACGTACCGTATACGGAGAGAAATGTATCGTTGATTTCACAAATCACCCATGGACCCAAACAGAAAAAACATACTTGCACCATTCATAGAAATAGTGAAAGTATTTCTGTGGTATATTCGTAATGAGAGAAATACTCATGTATTGACCGATTCGGTTACACCCAGACCAGAACTTAATCAAGTGAAGAATTAAACTGTGAAAAATGGAAAGACTTCTGAATATATATCTAACCAAGTGAAGTGCAGTGGTCGCAGCAGATTTCAACCCATCTTACTCTTAGATAGCAATTTTTTATACAATTTTCTAACATACTCAGATACGGAAAAAGTGTCTGCCAATGAATATATTTTATACAAAAACGTCCTACGTCAGGATATTAGAAGGGCAGACATGCAGCTATCACATTTTTAAAGTAACTTCCATCGTTTTCTGATTATACTGTATGTATATGCCCAAAGGAACCGTCAACGGGGATAGTGAATCCTCATTTCACTTATCAAATTGTTGAAACGATACATGGACTGCGCAGAATCAGGTGCGCATCATATTTAATCCGAAACAAGTGTGGGATATAGTTTCAAAACCAGAAAATCCAAAACGCGTTTTCCCGTTTTCTCATCTTCTTTCCCCAAAATAATATGCTGTCTTGACTCACGTAGATCGAAGGCATATTTAGGTTAGGGTTATGTTGATTTTAACATGAAAGAACCCTAAAATTCAGGATTTGAACATAAAACTTCTCCACTGAAATACTCCTACACTTATACCTAACTGAAAATCATCTCTGAATCCAAGTACAGATTCATTCAAAACCACCATTCTCCAGAATGGTCTTGAGGATTTTCAGTAGATAGAATGTTCAAAAACGTTTGTTATCATCTGAACATGAAGAGGATGATGTGCTGGAGCTCATATATACACTGTATCCGTAAAGTATGGAACAAATTCGATATTTCCTAAACTAAAAGCCTTTTCAAAAAAATCAGAAATACGTCAATTTTGATTCTGATGTTCTACATTTTACCACAAAATCTCATACAACAGAGTGGTACACAAAGGCGACATCGACAATTTTTTTCTATGTAACACCCTATATTTTGTGACATTTTTAGATCAGTGAAAATGAGCTAATTCCAAAGAAGTATTATTCTTGGTGTCAAAAAATAGAGGATGTTAACATTTGAATTGCCGATGCCGTCATCACCTTAATGCAGTATGTATCACACTGTAAATGTAGAACATCAAAATCAAAAATTTACGTGTTTCAGATATTTTTGAAAAGGCTTTTAGTTTAGGAAATATCGAATTTGTTCCATACTTTACGGACACAGTGTATGCCCATTGTTCATAATCTTGATTGCATTTTTTCAATACTTAAATTCTCGATCTAATTTAAAAATGTATCTTTTAATATAACTAAGAAAGCTTAAAGGTTGAAAATCTGTTGCATAAACGCATGCGCATCCAAAATTATATGGACAGTTCTTGCCCAGAGACTCGTAATGCTTCGGACCGATTCGAAACTATCCCAAACTAGTTCGTTTAAAACAAAAACACAATAATGATCTGTGGAATTCGAAACAAAGTCCTGAGAAAGCGCAAACACTTCTTTGTCACTGCCCAAGCTTCTGATGGTTTCGGGCTGTTACTTTAGTAAATCGAGAGCAAACCTTGTATACCTAGAATCAATATGGAGTTTGCTATCATACCGTATGTCTGCCGATTTTCAATATTGGACCCTCAAATCGGTATGTAGGTACGCCTTGGTATCCTATCTTCCAGAATCGTTGGAGAGGCATGAAGGGAAGATTTCATGAAGGGGCTGAAAGTGACACTTCTTGTCTTCCAGTTATTGTTGTTCGATCATTGACTTTCTAAATGAAGAATCTAGCTGCGTCTGTTATCTATAGCAAACTAGCTTCTCCATTTAGATCGACAATGGTTCGATAATATATATTGGTGAACTTCTATAATTATTAATACGTCGGGTACATTTTTGTTGAGATTCACGACGTCTTATACGATCCTAATGACACTCTGATAAAACTATTTTGAGAAGAATTAAGTCAATGTTCCCGTTCTGAAATCTTGCATTCTGAACAAACAACTGATAAGCATAAAAGACCATTAAATGATATGAATTGAAAATTAGTTCTTTCCATGTAGTGTTTTCAGTGTTGTGTCTATTGAAATGGGAACCAGAATGATGAATCCAGATGATATCGATAATAAAAAATACAAATTTGTACCACCAGAAGGAGGGTGGGGGTATCTCATCACGGCATCAGTTGTACTAACACATGTGAGATAGAATTCATATTTATATAGTTATAATATAGGTAGTTGAAATACCTTCACAGTGCCCCAGGAAATATAGCCCGGTTATACAAAAATAACGCAGATGTCTGTCTGCAGAATACTCAGTATTTCCTAGAGCCTGATAAATAACACGAAGAATCTTAACAAATTCGTTCGGCGGAAATGGTGAAAAAAGAGGCGCCATCGGCCATCTTGAATTTCGGTATCTTTTGCAAAATACCGCATATGACTCGAAAGACTTATACCTATTCCTTCAATTCAAAAACATCAGCTTTGAATCACTAATTCCCCTTGTTTTGATGATTCATCGGAATTTTCACATTCCTTCATGTTTTGGACATACAGGGCGAAGTTTGAAATAATCACTTTTTAAGCACCGCCCGTATCTTGGTCACTTTTCAACTTATCGGCAGAATGAGAACAGGGTCTTATATAACTTTTTACGTATAATAATGTGGTATACTCATTTTATTTCTGTAATCGCTCATTCTTAGAAAATGAAGCCAACATATTTCAATCCAGTTCGATTCAAGTTTTTTATTGCTCATCAAAAATATATAATAGTTGACATATTTTTCATCTGAAAAAAAAGCTTTTTCGCTATTTTCTGAAAATGAGCGATTACAGAAATGAAATGAGTACCCCACTGTTCCCCCATTATTCGTAGAAAGTTATACAGGGTGTTTCATAGGTAAAGGGAAATATTTCAATGGTACATAGGGGTCACCAAGGTGGTTCTGAAAATATCATATTTGATAGGTCTTAGAGTCTTCATAACGGAGATACAGGGCGATTTATCGATTTCGAATAATTATTCATTCTTCTTTGCTTTGCTTTTTGTTTTCCCGCCACCAATTCTCATCGTGACAATCATGAACAGAAAACTAAAAGTATGTCAATTTGAAGAGTATTGAAATCATGAAACCACTTTCAATTATGATTATTTGATATATTCTTGTTGAATGATCGGTCGAAAGAACTTACTCAGTCTCACAGTCTTTATAACAGAGATACAGGGTGAATTATCGGTTTCGAATAATTATTTATTCTTCCATATAAGTATTAGACTACCCATCGCAGTAATATTTTCTCAAATTTGGTATTGAGCTTACTTGGGACGATGGATTCATTGACCTATTAGGCAGAATGGAAATATAGGTTCAGCTTCACGAAAAGTCTCATAGTCTTTATAACAGAGATACAGGGTGAATCATCGAATTATAATTATTTGGTATTATTTCCATTCCGCCTGATAGGTTAATGAATCCATCGTCCCATGTAAGCTACATATACCTACCAAATTTGAGAAAATGTAACTGGGTAGTTTAAGACTTATGGAGACTGTGAGACTTAGTGAGTTCTTTCGAGCGATTTTTTGACTGAAATATCAAATAATCATATTTGACACTGGTTTCATAATTCTAATACTCTTCAGATTGAAATACTTTCAACTTTCTGTTTATGATTGTTACGATGAGAATTGGTGGCGGGAAAACAAAAAGCGTCATACACAATTCAGTTTTTCCTCCTCTTCACAATTCTTTCGATGTACTGTGTTCATTATTGAATAAAGTGTGTTATTTTAATATTTCGAATAAATGTAAATTTTTCCTGAAGCCGAACCTGGATTTTCACTCCACCCGATAGGTGGATGAATTTAACGTCCCAAGTATAAGCTCCTTACCAAATTTGAGAAAAATATACTGGGTAGGTCAATACATATAGACGAATGAATAATTATTCGAAATCGATAAATCGCCCTGTATCTCCGTTATGAAGACTCTGAGACCTATCAAATTTGGTATTTTCAGAACCACCTTGGTGACCCCTATCTACCATTGAAATATTTCCCTTTATCTATGAAACACCCTGTATAAGGCCCCGTTCTCATCCTGCCGGTAAAATGAAGAGTATCCAAGATACGGGTGTTGCTCAAAAAGTGAGAATTTTTAAATTCTCCCTGTATCTCAAAAACATGAAGAACTGTGAGAATTCAGTTTGCGGCTGTAGTATTATCAGATAAAGAGTTGCAATAGAACGACAAGTAACTTTATTTCTAATTACAAACTGACACATAACATCAAAACCTCAGACATTCCCATGCTGACTGTCACTGGTACCTCATACCGAGTGTAGTCATACCACATTCCTTCCCCACTAAATTCACAGAAAACGTGCTGGAATTTTTCGCTGCCTTGGTGGATTTCGTCTAGGATTAGTTTCTGTTTCATTCTGGGGTATCTCAAGATCCACTGAAGAATGGTCTGTCGAACTTCTCCGATTAACCACATGTTCTTCTTGATCATCCTGTACATTTATCGATACTGCATCCTCCACTCCAGATTGTTGCAACTCAGCGCTCGGTCTCGCAATGGTACTTTCTGCTGCTGGGATGATAATCGATGTTGGTATAGATTCTTCTGAATTTGCTCGAGAAAGTAGATGCCTACTCGATTCAGTTGAGGGGTGACGAATTCGTAACTGATCTGAATGTTTCCTTCTTTGTACCCCTTCCACATCAACAACATATGAGTAAGGACCAGTTTGACTAACTATTTTACCAGGTGATGAACCGGTTTGTAGAGGGTCATTTACCCAGACCAGATCATTATCTGCAAAATAATACTCTTTCGTACCTTTATCATGGTACCTAGCTTGGTTAAGCTGTGCATGTAGAATATTCCTTTGGACGTCAGGTTTCAACTGGTCAAATTTACACCTCAGTGGTCTTCCAAATATCAATTGTCCTGGTGTCCTTCCGGTGGATCTCTGAATTGTGTTTCGATATGAGAACAAGAACTTATGCAGTCGTCTCAATTGATCGGGTTCATCCATGATGTTCATCCTCTCCTTGAAAGTTTTAACCATACGTTCTGCTAATCCATTTGACTGTGGATGGTAGGGCGTAACTTTTATGTGCGTGATTCCATTGTTCTTGCAGTAGTCAGCAAACTCTTCTGAAGTCAGCTGGGGTCCATTGTCGGAAACAATAAATTTGGGAAGACCAAAACGACAGAAAATTTCTGTCAAAGCCGTAATAGTATTTCTAGAGGTTGTATTGCACATTGGAACTATTTCCATCCATCTCGAATAAGAATCTACTACCAGTAGCCACATTTTACCTTGAAAAGGACCAGCAAAATCTACATGTATTCGAGACCATGGTTCTGCTGGTGGTGCCCATGGAAACAAAGGTAGTTTCTGATCATTTTGTCTCGTTTCTTGACAAGGAATGCAACCCTGAACAAATTCTATGATGGACTGATCGATTTTCGGCCAATATACGTGTAGTCTTGCCATAGACTGCATCGCAGTTATACCCGGATGGCCGTCATGTAACATTTTCAAAGTTTCTTCTCGTAGCTTCTGCGGTATACATATTCTTCCTTTCCAGAGCATTATGCCTTCCTCGAGGGATAACTCATCACGTTTTTCATAATAAGGAATGATGTTAGTTTCTAAATATTTCTTTTGTGGCCATCCTGATGAGATGAATTGACTGACTTTCTGAAGTATTATATCCTTACTGATTTCGTTTTTCAGAGTTTTCTTCGTTATACACAGGTGATGTAGTCTGAGGTGAAGCAGTTGACCTCGTTTTGGTAATCCGACCTCTTCGGAAGGTGTCAGACTGGTTTGTGGTAATGGTAAACGTGATAAGGCATCAGCTGGAGCGTTATCTTTTCCATTTTGATACATGATGGTATAGTTGTAGCTACTTAGTATCATCGCCCAACGAAGTAGACGATTACTTGCTATCTTAGGTGTTTGACGGTGTTCACTGAATATGTGTTGTAGAGGCCTATGATCAGTTAAAAGGGTAAAATGTCTTCCATATAAGTAATGATTGAATTTTGTGACAGCAAAAATTATTGCTAGGGCTTCTTTATCAATAGTGCTGTACCGTTTCTCTACATCTGTCCACGTACGTGAAGAAAAAGCAATCGGGCGTAAAGTGTCGTCTTTGTATCTATGTGATAAAACAGCGCCGGCTCCTTTATTGGATGCATCACTAGATACAACTAATGGTAGCGTTGCATCGTAATGAACCAATGTATCATTGGACGTCAATATCTTTTTCAACTTTGTGAAAATTTTATCGTCATCTTCAGACCAGTCCCATTGACTACCTTTCTTGAGAAGTCTATGTAATGGTGCGCAGATGGTATGCAAATTTTGAATGAATCTGCCATAATAGGTTATTGAACCTAGGAATGATCTGAGTTCTGTTGTATTTTCAGGTGTCGGCAAACTCTGGATAGCTTGAATACGGTCTGTAGTTGGGTGTATCCCAAAGCGGTCTATGCGATGGCCCAGATATGTAACGCTCTCTTGAAACCATGCACATTTTGATTTTGCAGTTCTGATACCTGCTCCTTCTAATCTTTCAAGAACCTGTTTCAAACGCATTATGTGCTGTTCAGATGTTGGAGCTGTCACCAAAATGTCGTCCAAATAGCAGACTGTTCCCTCTATACCGGAAAGGAGTTGATCCATTATACGCTGGAATAGTGCAGGAGCAAAGGAGACGCCGAAAGGTAGCTTTTTATATGCGAAATAGCCTTTATGTGTAGAAATGACCAGGTATTTGCGCGAATCTTTGTGAACTGGTAATTGCAGATATGCATCTTTCAAGTCGATTTTTGAGAAATGCTTTCCTCCACATAGTTTTGAGGTTATCTCTTCGAAACGTGGCAATGGATAGTCGTCAATTTGTACATGCGGGTTGATGGTAACATTGAAGTCTCCGCACATCCTGATACTTCCATTGGATTTCACTACAATGACTGTAGGAGAAGCCCATTCAATAGGCGTAATTGTTGTATCGACTGGTTCTAAGACATCTTCATTCACTAGTCGACTAATTTCTGCACTCACTTGTTCTTGAAGAGCGATAGGAACAGGTCTGGCGCGGAAAGCTCTCGGTGAAACCTCATTGCGAATGTGTATTCTGGCGGCGTAACCCTTTATTGTGCCGATATG